ATAACGATCCTCTTCAAACCTCCATTACGCTATCGCAATTAAAAAAACTTCTAAAAAAAGACACTTGTCCCAATTTTCTAAGAATCGTACTGCGCAAGATACGCGAGTCTCGCGTTGAAACACGATGTTACGAGATAATGAAAAATAAAAGAAAATATATACCGGAAGCGATGAATGAAAAAAAAAAAGAAAGAAAGGATTGATCCTTTCGCTACGATAGTCTTGCAACTAATAAAAGCTCCAAGTTTCCGATAACATCATCATGTACACCATTTGAGTCAATTTCGATGCGATTTAAAGAACATCCGAAAGAATTGTTAATAATACGGTCGATATTTCATTTCAATGCTACGTTAAACACTCTGAGATGTTAAAAAAGTTTCGCCTATTAGAAGAAGAGTGAGATTAGGGCATAAAAATTCGAAGACCGTAGCGAGTCTCGAGTCATTAATATGGAACAAATATTCGCACGAACATTTAGATACTTTGTATAATCAATTGAAATTATATTGCAAATATTTATGCAAATCTTATTTTCCAATTCTGTAAAATATATTTCACATTTGCTATTTTATCTCTCGATTATATCTCTGCTCGTTATTATACTTTTTTCCATATTTACATTCGTTAATGCATAAAAATCTACGACCTAATTACACTGTAATCAATATGAACGAACGCAAAAATGATTCTATACTTCAGAAAACGTGGACTTCTAACATATGATGACTCAATATTTTAAACGCGTACATTGTATATCATAGCGAAAGGATTGAAAGGATTCTATTCTTTTTCTTTTTTTTTTTTACGAGTGAGAAACAAAGGAACAGCCGTTATTTCTGTACCAACCTAATACTTGAGCGGTCGTGGCAACAGCCTATTCTTTCCCGTACGTCTCAGCCTCGAGGAAGAAAGAAGAAGCGGTATAACAGAAGAGGAGAAAAAAAAGGCACGCGTTCGTAACGTTACTCGGTCGCGGTTAATGCGCACTTCTCACGATCGTGACTTTTGAACAGTCTCGATAAGCGGTAACTACTCTCGACGATCGATGATATTCGATAGATCCGACGAATCACCCCTTTTTTTACTGCCGTTATCGTGTGGCAATGACGCGCGCTTCGACGGCAGCCTCTGACTTCCGCTGTCCGGTTTGCTCGAGCGAGAGAAGGAAAAGAAAAGGAAAAAAGAACCGGCGACTCCCGTGGCGTAATTTCCATCCACCCGCATGTGTTTTAATCGTATTTAACTCTGCTACCATCCTCCAGCCTTTGTGTCTCGATCTTCTTTTAGTTTTAACAAACAGAATGACTTTTGAACGAAACCCCTTTATCTTATAATGTGGAATCACACTCGCGGTGCAATCGCACGTTAAATTCGATATAATGCGCGATTAGTTTTATCGTAAAGAATTATGAAACGAACATAGATTAAATATTGTGAATTAAATGAGATGCAGATTCTATTTGTATCGAAGTTCTATTTTAATCCCTATTTTTACTTTATGTTGAGAAGCTTTCTAAAAAGAGAATCTATGTGTATATATATAATAGATTTGTTGAATAGAAATTGTATATAATAGTTTAATACTTTGTTTGAAACGCCATATTAAAGTAATAAATAATCAATAATAAGACAAGGGGTTAACAACGATTTTTTTTTATTATTGATTATTGATTATTAGAATAGAAGAATAGGATCGGATTCAGAATGAGCCAAAGAAGGTAGCAGTGTTAGAAGAGAATAGGTGCGTAGGTAGATGAAAAATAAAGAGCGTCTCAAAAATCTATCGCGCGACTTGTGTTTCGCTTTTTATTTTATCACGCACGTGTATCTTTTGTTCCTTATATCTTTATCTGTTTACGTAGTTGCTTGATTGTCCTCAACTAGCGTATCTCCTTTTCATTTTTTAGATGCACACAAAAGACTCTATGATTCGTCATTTAAGTTCCTGGAACGTTGATTCATCTATCAATATGATAGTATATTATTGTGCATAAACCTTCCCGCACATCTTTCTCTTTCCATTGCTATCTATCTTCAACCCTTCTAAATACAAACTTCTTAGAACCGTCTAAAATTGTCTCTGATTCACTGATTAGCGTCGATAATTGATTAGGGCCAATCAACGAAATAATCGTTAATAGATCATCAACTGTTATTTTATTTACTGATCGAATTCCTGTAAAAATTCTGTCGGAAAGACCTCGAATATTTTCACTATCGATCTAGTAATATTTCCAAATATTTCTGAAGCTCTTGAATTCTGTTACAATGGTATAGAAAAAAAAGAGTATAACTGTACAAATAGTAGGACAAACCTTGTCCGACCTGATCAAACGACCTGTTTCAAAATATAATTTAATTTATCGTTAACTTTATGTCAATTTTTATATTAAGGAAAATTGAGAAGTTGATTAATCGAATAATATAAGAATTTACATAAAGTTAGATGAACGAGAGAAATAACAATGAATGTACAATTTTAAATTACATTTTGAAACCGGTCGTTTGGCTGGGCCTGGTAAGGTTAAGCGTGAATATGAGATCCGAGTTACCACGAAATAAAAAATAAATAGTGCACAACATGAAAATCGACTTAACTTGCATTATGTCCCTGAGCGATTAAAATGAAAAAGACATACGCTTAGATTTGAACAATTCGCACGCATCGTGGATAGAAGAACGACGGGCAATTCGAGTGCGCAGTCACGCAACGTAGATTCATTGAGACGAGGCCTGGCGCGAAAGAAGCGACGCGTGTTATACCTACGATCGTGTCGGAGTTCCAGGCGCGCGCGTTAGATCGCGAAAGTCGCCGAGCCAGCACTGACTCCTAGCCACGGTTTTATAGCGGCCGCCAGCCGAGTATATCACGTGGCACGCGCTTGTCGGTGCGTGTTTTAATGCAGCAGCGTGACGTTTCGTACGATCGCATATGTTGTCACGCGTTGTCACTGCTCCGTTGTTCTTGCTAAACCGCTGTATGTCACTGTAGCGCGTGGGTGATTGCGAATCGAAAGAGACAGAGAGAGAGAGAGAGAGAGAGAGAGACAGAGAGGGAGAGAGAGAAACACACAGACAGATAGACAGGAAATATAGGATGTGCTCTAAAACACTTCAAACAACTTCGAATATGTACACATAGCGAAAATGTCGAATCGCTTCTAACATTGGGAATTTGATAAATCTGAAATCTTGAGATTTTTATCCTTTGCCTTAGGATTTTTCTTTTTTTTTTTTTTTTTGGTAGTTATTTAAATAAGTATTAGTTATCGTAATCTTCGAAACTGTATCAAATGTAAAATATTTAAATATTATATGGAATTTGTATTTATTGATCTCAGTTTGAAGAATTGAGAGAAAAGTTAGGATTCAGCCTCAACTTTGCTATGTAACCTGTTTCTTGTCAAATCGAAATCATAATTTGTATCACGGAGGTGACTATATTACGAGGCAAGGGATTAAAATTAAAGATCATGATGGATTAAATCTTTTATACATGTTATATTTTATTCTATATATGTATTAACATATATTTGATATATAGGTGAGGTAGTTGAGTCTACTAACCTAACAACTTCAAGACTTACCAAGACTTTCAACAGTTTTAAGTACCGAATCACGTTCAAAGTGATTCGAACTTGCATAGTGTTTCGAAATTGACGTCATTAAGGACACACGCTGAGACGCGGGCTTAACCTAACAATAGCTATGGATCCATGCATAGAACATGCAATTAGTGTGCTATTGCATCAGATATAAGGAAAGAGCCAGGTACACTTGGTATCTGCCTGATGCATGATACTAATGGATGCAATAAAGTCGGCGAAAGCATAAAAAAGTATAGATTTAATGGAGATAATTGGGATCAGGTGGGAATTGGGGTGGCAGATTGCGAGTTTCGATTGCGTCAGATACGTGTTTAGATGTAGCGTATAACTAATATCGTATAGAGTAGAATATTCGATCGAGAAAGTAATATCGAAAGTTTCAGTTCGATAATTTCGATGGAAAAGTTAACCTTCGAACTCTCGTAGGTTAGATTATGTAGCAATACTGGAAAGTTTGTTAATTTGCTTGTGTCATAAAATAATTGAAAATTGAAGAGTTAAATTCAGTTCAAATTCGTAGGAGTATTAGTGGCAAATTCGAATTCAGAAAATCTCGATCTCGAAACTCGAAGACGCGCAATCGAATCGTTCGAACGCTCGAGTATCGATTCGTTTCGATATTCGAGAACTCACAATCTGTTCTCTTTTATTTGCCGAACAAATGTTTAAATCTAATACGTTCTATTCGATTAATTATTTACGTTTCAACTTACTTGCTGAATTATTATGATCAGTTATTATAAAGTTAATGAACAACATCCTTAAAAAGTGGAACTGGCTCTTATCCCCCATCGTGAACGCTAATCAATAGCAATTTCCTTAAATCAAGTCGAACGGTAAAGTAGAACGCTTTAAATGCTTCTTGATTTACAAACAAAGGTTAACGACATACTTTATGGATTACGTGACCAGTACACAATGCTCGTTAGTACTTGTAAATCGGATCGATGCCGCTGGTATCGATAATAAACTTCATTTAAGTTAAATAGGTTTTATAATTCAAAGACACATTAGGGCCAATAATTCTAAAATAAGAAATCGCAAGCTTATGCTATTAAGCAACAAAATTTGAAGACTTTTTCTCAAAATATTGTATCGCTTGTTACATATTAATTCAAATAAATTCAAAAAATTTCTCAGAGTCATTGATAATCGACCCACTTAGTCTTACTTCAGCCACGAAAAAAACGTATCGTGTATTACGTCAGCGGCTGCTAATGTGTTAATGGTAATATAAAACCGATTATGAAAAACAGATGAAACGTTACTTAGTTGCTTTGAAGCTCAAACAAAGACGTAACAATTACACTTAACACAATTTCGGGAGCATGCATTGACATAAACTGACATAAACGGGGATAAAAAACATTTGATGCAAAAAAATCTTACTTTTCCGTTTGGCTTGTAGCACGCTCTGACGTCTACCATATTGTTCAATAAAGTATGAGTGTCATCCGCGGCGTCCAGGCCCAATTTCTCCACTAATTCCTCCCTCGTGCGTATCATTTCCCAATTCGCGATATTATATCCCATAGAAGCTTACGTTTCGTATTGTCCACCTCCGACACCGTATCTCCAACTGACAATCTTTTTATCAACGCCTCTTCGTTCACTCGTAAGTACTTTACCACCACCTATTTACCAAGTATTTCCCAAGTCCGTTGTTATAGGCCGTCCGTCTACCTAAACGCCAAACAAGAACATTCACAGAACGTGATGGACAATTACAAACCACGTGCGAACCCTTCCGTCCTACACAAATTTCGTAATCCACTCACTGAGACCGGTCACACATGGATACGACGTATCGATTTGACGTGCGTGCAACATGTAAACACGAGAGCACGCCACTCGACCGCTCCGTCTCCGCGATACCACAAATCAAACGAATATCATACGTTCCCATTAAACCACGTTCGTTTTATACGATCAGCGAATTACACGTTCTTAGCGTATAAATGCAGAGGACTGCTGCGTCGTCGAGTACTCATTCGCTCGTGAGTAGAAAGCGCAACCTTTTTGCAGTAGTGCTTCGCTAAATGGCTACGTGTCGGCAGCTATTTGATCAGTTATCGAAAGATATTTCTAATTGTATGAAATTTTGATATCTGACACGTTGGTTTATCATACAAATATTCTATTGTTAGATGTAGCGAGGTTATAAATTAAGATTAGTAGTATCAGTGGTTTGAAATATGAAAAATATTGAAAGACATAAAAAAAGTACTTAATAGAAGAGAAAGAAATGGAAAAGAACGTTCCAATCCCTAAAGATCTATAAATTTCTATGAAAAATTGAAAATCTCTAGTATCAACGTATTGAAGCGTTGAGTGGGTACACCGATTGATCTAGTCGCACCTAGGGCCGTATGCATCTTCCTAGTACGCAGGCACCAGTGTAAGTTTTTCGAAATTTACGAAAATTACGATTTATCATAGAATTGAAACTTTAGAACATAAATTAAAAATATATAATGTAATCGCTCTCCTTCGCAAGACGAAATTTTTTGTTAAATATACTGCAAAGGAAGAAATAGTTCTGAATTGCTATCGTACGGCCCTGGCCAAGGCTCTGAGTCCTTATCTCTCTCAAAACATCTCGGACTACTTGTTTCGATTCTTGAAACATGTAAACTTTAACACCTGACTAATTTTAAGACCTCGCTATATCTCTTCCACTGATAGTAACACCAGAAGCTCACTCCACAATGTCAAAACTGGCGGGGATAGCGACGGCCACTTAACGAAGCAAAATTCTGGTCAATTAACGCGACATTACAATACTCAATATATCCATATTTAACACATTTGTTTATAACAGACGTATATAACATTAGGGGCTCACTTCACGAACACAATTTGAAGAACTGGAGGGGATAGCGACGGACAATTGACGAAGCAAACCGCGGCCAGTTAACGCGACACTACTGTACTCGCCGACTGCGCGCCTTATTGTGTATCCTTCTCACCTCCTGGGTCTCAGAAGAAGGGGGCGATGAACACGCTCTACAGGCTATCCAAAAAGTCGAGTACCGGCATTAATATTTATTTTCAAGCCGACAGGAACAGGTGAAAATGAATTAGTGAAAAGATCGAACGTATTTTGTTACTTTCGATTCAAGGTATACCAACTTGTATACTTTAATTTTTGTAATGTAGTAGGAAGACTTTTGTGATTCTTTTTATGTAAGTACGCGAGTTATCGGCTATCGACACTGTATACCGGTTGTATGATAATCAAATGTCTTTGTAGGTTTGTATTATCTCTTGTAGAAAATGAATTTGCTTTGCGGCAAAAGGAGAGAGCGTGTCACGGAACGGCTTTAAAGTTTGTGGTCAATGTGCACACGATCGTGTAGAAACGCAATCGGTTTAATCTGGTGTAACACTTGCCAGGCGTCACTCACCATTTCATCCGTCTAACGCCGATTTACATATCGATTTTGGAGCGTGCTGCGAGCACGCCGTGATGGAAGGCGGTCCGCTCGAGAAACGGTATACGTAAGACAGCCGAATGGTCACTGGATTTAAATAAATCGAACGATATGAATGAAAATCACATGAACATATTCTTAACTATACATTAATCAATATGCATATGTGTGAATTACAGGAAATATCGAATGTTTCACAGTTTTAAGAATAAATTTTATAAATTTTATTCACAGATTTTAGTTGAATTTAGACAAACAATTTTATAAAATATAAAGAACACTGGTAAATATTAATTGATCTTCTTCCAAACAAGAAAACGATCTGAGAAAAAAGGAGAAAGACCTTAATCTACTCCGAAAGCTCTCTACTGCTACTTCATATTGACGTATAGCTATCGAGTTGCTATTTTACATTTATAGTCTGTCCAACGAAACGGGGCAGTAAACGTAAACAAAATGTGATTGCTGCGGCTGCAACTATTGGCTGACGACTAGTAATATTCGAGTGTCACTATCTCACCTCGAGTTTATTGCCTTGTCTCATTGGATAGATTATATATCCTGTCTAGCAAGTAGAGTCTGAACAGGAGAGGTAAATAAAACCACGTGATCGAACTCTAGGGGAAACAATATGGTCGAATTCGCAATCCTTATATATTATGAAATTGCAAACTACTATTTCGAACATTTTTTAATACTTTAACATTAATCGTACCATCTCGGCATTCCTTATAAAAAGGTATTAAACTACTTATGTCGAAAAACTATTGTTTTAGCAGATATATTAACTTTAGTTTTTCAAATTTAACATATGAAAGACGAGGAAAGATTCGAAGCGGTATTCTTGTGTTTACATTCTCTTTGTCTTCCATACGTTAAATTTCACTAATTAAAATTAAAATATCTGCTAAATTAATATAATTTTGCATAAATAAGTTAATACCTTTTTTTATAGAGAATATTATCTTTATTTAGATTTTTTAACAAGGAAACTTCACTTTTTTTTATGAAAAGTGAGATCTCTTACCGTTTCCAGTTAAACGAAACCCCATGTATATGAAATTTTATATAAATTTATCTAAAATACTTAAATATACAAAATCAAATAACTAATTGCTATATTAATAATTAGATGAAGCATAAAGATATTATGCAATAACCACATTAGCTTACTATCGGTTCGTTACTTCTCATCGTAATGTGTTTCAATAGTAAATATATACTTACGTATGTACCCACGTTGTTTGATCTCCATATTGGAAAAATGGCAACTGTGAGTGTAGGATGCGGCGACTTTTTAGAGTTTCAGGTATTTTTTAAGTAAATGAAAGTATTGTATAAAACGTATTATTTCAAATTATGTACTTCAATTGTTTTAATTACATATATTAAATTGTATGTAGATTTCTGGAAAATGATAATACACTGCAAACATAATTAAGGTTATATAGTATTTTACATAATAATTTGTAGATGATATTTAAGAAATGAAAGACCTAAAATTCTCCATGAAAACAATTAAATTTAATTAAGTAAACAATTCGATATATAAGTTATAAAGCAGACTTTAAAATTTTAATAAATGAATAGATATCCTTGTGCATTTGATCTAATGTGAAATAATAATTGATACAGTATATCTGTAAAACTTGATAATAAAAAAAATAATTAAAGGACCTATATTGAAATTAATTATTTTGCAGTAATACTTTTGTATGTGTCTTTTCCAAATTCATCTTTTTTTTTATTTTAAGATACTGAATGTTCTTGTTCCAGGATGCATTGAAAAAGATGCGGCAACTTGATGACAAAATCATTTATATGCTAAATGCTATACTTCCAACAGAATCATTTAAAGGACAAAGTGATCCTACTACAAAATGTAAAGATTTATATGAACAAATTCAAACAGGTCATAAATCAAGGGCATTAGCTATTACAAGGTGTTTAAATGCATCCAAGGAAAAAGTGAACCAATTAAGAGCTGAAAGAGATAATGGCAATGATAGTCCTCAACTTCTTAAAGCATTAAGAAAAGAACAAAATACTTTACGCTTACTGCAATCAGAATTAAACATAGAAGAAGTTGTAAAAGACCATACAGTTGAGGCTTATTATAAGAAATGCCGTGGTTTTTATAAGCCATCGACTGATATAGAAATTTAATCTCGTTATTGATTTTGAAAATACTTTGACCACTACCCCTTTATATGATTGTAAATTTAACTACAAATATATTGAAATGTTGTAAATATATTTAGTTACTGCATTTATGTAATAATAAATAGACGAGGTCTGCAATAGTAATAACTATAAGTATATCTTTTTTTTTTATATTATTTACTAATAAATTAAATGTAGGATATATACATATGTTGGGTATAATAGAAAAACCTTGAGGCACCTTTACATTTATTTCTTTATTTATTATTATATCAGTGTTTATTATCAATGTTTATTATATTGAGTATTAGTTTAGCAACATTTTAAAACTAATCTCATTTATATCTGTTACAAAAATATATTTCTTGAATTATTAAAGTAATATGCAATAACTTAGAGATCTCAAATGATATTACAAAGCAGTATTTCATAGATCAATAAATTAATAATCATACAACAATTACTACAGCAAAATAGTAACAAAGAAAGAGGGCAAGTCTAAAAAAATATTTCAAACATAAATTTAAATACTACAAAAAAGATACTTTTTTTCATATATACATATATAACTAAGGTATATTTATTATTAAAGGTAGGTAAAACATTATTTTGCTTTTTCAGCATTTTCAGCTGCTTCTCTTCTACCTTTTTCTTTTACTTCCGTATACCATTTCATTCTTTCTGTTGCTATGTTTTTTCCAGCTGCAACATCTCTTTTTCCAATCATTACAGCTGAGAGACAGATAACTATTGCAAGAAACATCATAACAAAGCATATACGAATTCTTGCCTTAGTATGTGCATGATGGATACATTGATAACTAGTAAAGTAATCAAAACACAAAATATTTAATATATATAGTATTTAAGTAAGTGAAATTATTTCTTATATTGCATCAAGAAATGGAATTTATTTTTATCCTCTGGTACTTGTAATTCTTATTTTAATAGAAATTTGTATTTTCAACTAACTTACGAGACATAATCTGGAACTTGATCCAGACTAGGATACCGTTTGACCCAAACTAATATTCTTTTATCAAGATTAGATAGAGCAACCATAGGTGGTCCTAAAGTGCCACAATTTTTCATATATTTTGGACATATATTTTGGATAAAATTAAGAATATTAAAGTTAAAAATATGTATGATATACCTGTTACAAAATCAATTTGTTCCTTCTGACCTGTAGATTGCAACGTTTCAGTAGTTTTAGATTTCTCACTAACAGATTTATTTTCATTTCTTACAAAAGTCGAATGTAATTGCCTTATTCTTAATAATTTAAATTGCCTGATCAATCTTGTACAGAACATTCTACAACAATAAATACTATTTATAGTTTATTTATATTAAATATTACATCTTTAATTCATGAAATGATAACATATATTAATAAATTTAATTAATTAAATATAAATATAATAAAGTATAAACATTACAATGTGTAAATGCTAAAAGATACTATTCAAGTACTAATATAACATAATTATATTTTCCCATATTCTGTTAATTTAATTAAAAAAGAAATTGTTTACTGTATATTACGAAATTTATTAGGGATCCAGAAAATCAAGAATACTTCAAAATATGTTTTATAAATGTATTAAATACTGGTGCATCTTCTTTCACGTAATTTTTATAGGTTACATATCTATAAATAAATCGTATTTTAAAACAGACTAACTATATTTCAAAAATAACATATTGACCTTGCTTAATTATATTACAGAATTAATTAATTGAATATTTGTATCTTGTTATCTTATATCATTCTACGTAGCAATTAACTCAATTTATTCGTTTATGTAATATTTTAATTTACTGACTATCACAGTCCAGAAAAATTAATCACTTAACTTACTTTTAACGATTTATGTTCATGAGCTGACCAATCCTTTCTGTTAATCGCTTAGGTACTACTAACTTAAAGCACAATAGGAATATCATGGATATAGGAACACACACACATATATACGAACTTTTAAGATATGTATACATGCCGTATATGCATGTACTTTATACAAATAATTTTTATGTTTAAACTTTTAATCAGAATTAACAAAAACATATTCGAAACGTTTATTATATATTATTTATGGAAAGGTGTAATGATTTGGTAAATAAAGGAAAATAGAAAATAGTTGTTCCCCATATCAAGATAAGTACACTTATAAATAATTTCATTCCTTTTTTAGTTAAATGGTTCGGAAAAAATAGGCTGTTCTTTACTTCAAGGGACCGGAAATTATTGATTATTTTATTTGCAATTTTGTAGTTTCCGATTCGTAGAATTCGGAAATGTAAGTTTTAAGTTGCGAAACTCAGTGGCCTAAAAGTTATGACTATGTAAAACAGGGCATTTTTAGGGTATTTTACAAGTTATTTTGATGCCACATTACCTCCATTCAATGAATGAAGTCCATGAAGTCACTGATTACACGTAAGTGGCTGTCACTTTGGCGGGTTAAGTCAAATACATTTTTATATGTTATATATATATATTTTGCATATTTGGTCTTTCACCCTGACTCAATGCCTCAAGGCCTGCAAATATTAGTTTTTCTAATGCGTTCGGAGTATTCATTTGTGCTTTTTTTTATCGCTACGTTTCTTTTCGTTTTATATTCTTCTTTATTGCTTTTTTGTGGCCTTTTCCATTTCATTTTTTATTTCTTTTCATTCCGTGAAGGTACATGGAACAATCAATCACAGTGTGGGATTTGTAAGTAAACCCGAGATTAGTTTTGGTTTAAGTCAACATTTATTTTTCATTAAGAAACGTTAGTACAAACTAATTTTGCACGAATTTAACTACAGCTCCTTATAGTATGTATTCAGAGAACAGAAACCAATTGGCAGCCAGTTATGAACTGAATAAGGGAAGAGGTCGCTTCCATGACAATGAAGTTGCCGATCGTGTGAATTTTTGTGGCGACATTTTTGCTGTTATAAGAATATTGATTTGATAGTATCGTTGATACAAACGATGCGAAGACATTACGTTTTTAAATAAGGTAAACGAAAGTTGAGAGTATGAGAATGAACATGAGAGCTCACCTGTGCGGACCAATCAGATGTCGTTTGTGCAATCTATTCATTGGACGAAGTATGGATACAAGGCAAACTGCCAAAGTAAAGTGTAAAAAACCCTAAAAATTCTTCGTTTTGTACAGTCATAATTTTTTGATCCACTAGATTCCACAACTTATAACTTGCATTTTTGAATCCTACAAATTAAAACCTATATATAAAAATTAAAAATCAAAGAAAAACAATCATGAATACCGATTTTTATTATTTTAGACATAGCAGATATTTAATTGAATATTTTATTGAATAATTATTGAATATTTCTAAAACTTCTAGGAATTTAATTTTTATTCTATGTATCCATAGTTTAAAACTTATAACTGCCTGATTACAATTTACAAGAGTACAAGTGCTAAACGTTTATCGCACATGTTTAATGTATATGTAACGTATTCTACTAAAAGAATATACGTTGATAGAAATTTTACTGAATTAAAATACTTACAAAATGAAAGTGAAAATTCTGACAAGAAATCCAGATGACTATTTAAGAGAAACGAAACGTGATATTCATAAAGGTTAGTTTTATTTTAAGATACATATTGTTTAAAATAACAAATAATGGTAAAGTAAACTTTCTTTATAAATATTTCTACATTTCTTATCGTATAATGCAACATTTATAATATTTTATTCAAATGGATTATTAACTAATTTTGTACATTTCTTGTTTGTAGTACCAAGGAATTATGATCCGGCATTACATCCTTTTGAAGCAGCAAGAGAGTATACCAGAGCTCTAAATGCAGTAAAGTTAGAAAGAGTATTTGCAAAACCTTTTGTAGGATGCTTAGAAGGACATAAAGATGGTGTGTCTTGCTTATGTAAACATCCTTCTCAGTTGTCTATTCTACTTAGTGGGTCTTTTGATGGAGAAATAAGAGTATGGGATCTTATATATAAAATATGTACACGCAACATTTTGGCACATGATGGCATAATACGGGGAATTGTATTTAACCTAAGTGGTGAAAACTTTATCTCTGTTGGTGATGATAAGACTATTAAAACATGGAAATCAGAAAAATCATCATTCAGTCATCACGAAGAACCAATAAATACAGTTATTAGTAAAGTAGGATAGTAAATATTAAAGAACGAAAATATAAATATTATTTTACTATATTTATTCAAAATATATGAATATTTTATAGACTATAATAAGTGGAATCTCTCATCACCGAACTCAGCCAATATTTGCAACATGTGGCGAAGTATGCCATTTATGGGAAGAAACAAGGAATGAACCAATTCATACATTTAAATGGGGTGTTGATAGTTTGCACGATATTAAATATAATCCTGTGCAGTCCAATTTATTAGGTATAAAATTATCTATTATTGTACCTAATGAGGATCATATTTCAACATTATAAATACATATGAATTTTGCAGCTGCTTGTGCAAGTGACCGTAGTATAATTCTGTACGATGCCAGAGAAACAGGACCATTGCGAAAAGTGTTTATGAGGTTTAGAACTAATAAATTGTCTTGGAACCCTATGGAGGCTGTTACTTTTACATGTGCTAATGAAGATTATAAGTAAGTTTGAGAAAGATGATATATCGTGTTATTTGATATCAAAGATTATATAGAGAAATTGAGTATAACATGTTTTTTTATTTAGCTTATATACTTATGATATTCGTAAGTTGAAAACACCAGTAAATGTGCATATGGACCATGTAGAGGCTGTAATTGATGTAGATTACTCGCCGACTGGTAAAGAATTTGTGTCTGGTAGTTATGATAAATCTATTCGCATTTTTGAAATAACCAAAGGTCGTTCTCGAGAAGTTTACCATACAAAACGCATGCAAAGATTAACATGCATGGCCTGGTCTCTTGATAATAAATATGTTATTAGTGGTAGCGACGAAATGAATATTCGTATATGGAAAGCAAAGGCATCGGAAAAATTGGGTGTGGTATGTAATTATTCCAATTATATTTTGTATTTCTTCCTTTTACTATTTTACGCATTAAAGATAATAAAATGTATAATTGCAGTTGAGACCTAGAGAAAAAGCAGCATTAAATTACAGTGAAGCTTTGAAAGAGAAGTTTTCTGCACATCCCCAAGTTAAGCGAATTTCTCGACATAGACAGGTTCCACAACATGTTTACAATGCAAAGGCTGAATTACGTACAATTCGCGAGAAAAGTAAACGAAAGTATGTACTATTATTTCAAAAGAGATCTGAAATATTTAAAGTATAAAATATTTTTGCTATAATTTATATACTTTATTTCAGGGAGGCTAATAGACGAGCTCATTCTAGAAGAGGTGCGGTACCTTTTGTTTCGGAAAGAAGCAAGAATGTTGTTCATCAAGAAGTATAATACACAATTATGTATTGTAGTATTATACATTTTTATGCTGATGCCCCTTGCGGACTACCGCCGCATATATGCGTTCTGCGTAAGCCATCAATTTGGCCGAGGAACTCATATATGCTTTTGACGAAAACAATTGATAGAACCGAAAGACTCATATGTGTGTCATTTTATTTATCCTGTGGGGAATCTGTGCATATACATATGTCTAGAATTTAACATCCATGAACGAAAAGCACGCCTAAGCAGAAATATGCGTGGCAATTTTAAATGTTTATCGCGACAGCAACTCGGCCCTACGGTACGGTTGACTTTGAACCGTCCCGTCCGCAAAGGGTTAAAAATAAAGACAAAATGGAGTTTACCACATTGTATTATAATTTGTATAATTTTACAAAATTCAATATAAACGGTAATTTACGTAATGTTATAAACAAGGTATGTCAGCATTTCATCTAAATGTATAAATTTATTTATTTTTTGGATATACCGATCATAGTAAATTATAACATTTGATGAACATGAAATATCTGTTCAAGATTAATTTTATACTGTTTATGCATATTTGTTTATCAAAACAAAACTTATTTTTTTATTTTAAAGCGAATGTTAAAATTTATGAATTTCTTGTTATACGGGGTAATTCTCTAGTTGATTCAAAGGCGATGCCACTAATAATACACACATAGTTGTTTTTGCCCTAACACAGGACTGATATCAGATTCTGATGACACATTATTACTTGATATATATTATATATATATAAACAGAGAGTTATTACATTTCCTTTGAGTTAACTAATAAGAAAATCATCCTGTATATGCTACATTCGTTTAATACTAATTTCCTAAATTTCAAAATAAAAAATTACATGATTCAATTTTCTGTTATTCTTATAAGAAATATTAACTTGTGATGCTAAATCATATTCGATATCAAATTTAATGTAATTACTTCACTTAAAGAAACAGGTATTTCATATACCACGTTATGTTTTCGACAATGGATAATATTTTTATGGATACACATTATGGACTAAAATATTGACTATAATGTCTAATATTTATTGTAATAAATAATTTTATTGAAATTATACAACGCATTGCTATAATAATTCGTAAAACGTTACAAACTTCAAGCAGTGATTAATGTCTTGCTTAGCGTAGCTTACAACGATTTATTAATTTCCTTCTATTTTCTTTGCGCATTTATCTTAATAAATGTTTATCAATTTGGCAATACGCAGATCATTCTATATCCTCTTTTCAATGTCGAAGTACGGTGAACGTTCACAAACTAGCTAAAAATCATGCTGAAGTCTTATTTCATGTTTTTGTCAAAGATGGCTAAGTAAGTGATTTTAGTCTTCGTATTTTTGCTTATCTTATATTTTCAAGTCCGCATTGTAGATGTTACATTTTCGGTTGATACGGTTTAAATAAATGAATACAAGACACATTTATCGATTTTATACGTAAATGCTCTAGCATTGTAGGGATGGGGTATTGTATTTAATTTAATACCAGATATTTGAACGTGGGTAAACTCCTTATTAAAATACTATTTTATTATTTGTCAGTTATCATGTGTCTCATTCGCGTTACCTTGTAGGATAAATCAACGACAGTCTGCCGTTTGTAAAATCTGATCTAACGCGTTCATATTATTCGATGAATTCGATGATAGTTATGTAAATTTTAATTTATCATTCCTTGTCATTTCGTATATCGAAAAAATGATGAAGCAAGAGTTCTATCGAATTGTATTCTTAAAATTTCATGTCCTTGGGCGTATAAAAAGCGGCACATAGTCTCCGATTTTTCTCGTTTATCGATTGTATGTTAATTAATACGCACATATGATTATACAGTTGCTTATTCTTTTCTTCTTCTCTTTTTTTAATATCAACTATGCGCGCATAAATTCTGTACAAGACTAGGTTAGTCGAACAATTAAATTATCAGTGTAAAATTATTTCTTTCGTCGGCTTCAAAATTCCATGGTATTCTACGCTTCCTGTTGTCACTGTCTCAAGGGTGTAGTTCCTCCTAACGATGCCGTCAATGTCATTTAATTAAATATGAGTAGTATCGTATAACAATAATTATAATTTATATACATATAAACACATTTACATTAATTTTGTAAAACACTATTTAGCCGCGTGAAATTCTAATGGTAGAATCCTCGAAGGATTTTAAAAATCCTCCTTTCAATCGATCGAAAATTACGAAAAATCTCATTGCATTGTCGTCCTGTTCAAAGTCACATACATCGATCTGCTAAATATGTTGAACTCCTCTGATAATATTTTATTGGTAAATTTTATCATTTCTTTTTTTTTTTTTTTTTTTTTTTTGCTTCTGCTTTGACGATTGTTGTCGGGTAATGCAACGCTGTCAAATAACCTTCGATTTCTAAACTAAATTCAACAGCATAAGATTTCACACATTCGTCCGGAACGAGAAAACCATTCAAGAGACATTCGCAGTAACATTAAAAAATATACTTATCTCATTTTTTGTGATAACTTTTATTCCATCCAAATTCTACAATAAACTAGCTCATCGAAAATGCTGTAAACTAGTTGTCATTCGAAATTTTCTATCGCAGAGTCAGCGTCAAGGCGTATCGGCACGCGTCGAGCGATCCTCGTCAACTGTTAACGATTTAATTCAATGAAATAGATATCGATAGTTTCTCGTTGATTTAACGCGAACCCTGCGACTCGATCTATAAAATGAGGAATCAGTTTCCCTGCTATGCGTCCTCCGACTTTTGATTCGCTGTTATTTTCATGAATAGCGGCGGTCGTTAAATTACTTACGCTATGTTTCCTATCGTTATCGATGACTTATGAAATACATATCACCGCGGCAACGTACAGAATCATTCGAACGTGCGACGCATTTCATTCTCGAGTATGCGATGAATCGTTGCAACAACAAATTAGTTCGTTACGCGATCAAGAAATTTCTTTATTAATCGACGAACATGATCGACCGAGGACGATATGAAATTCAAGATAAAAACACGTTTCAATGATTTCACGAACTCTTCGTGCCTGTACCCGCATTTACGTGATCTCGTACGAAATTGTATCGTGAAACGCGTCTCAATTTCTCGTAGTCTCTCTGAACGAATTCGCTTTAATCGTTCGGTTCGAAGAGCGTCGGTGAAAGCATCGATTTTACCAGATCGTCCTGATTGCCAGCTTTTTCTAGACGTTCAGGTCAGCCATCATTTTACGGAAATCGGCTAAGGTATTGTAATCGGGGTCTGAATCGATGTCCGCGAAGTCTTTGTTGGAATCGCTTTTCACAAAGCTAGGATTGTATCGACTTAATGACAACGGGCACGGCAGTAATTCTGGCATCACCGAGTGATGAGTAATTAGGGCGGTCAGAGTTGTGAATTCCTTTGTGAAGCCCTGCAACAAACAGAAGGATAATGCGTACAGTTATTATTCATTCTGAATATTAGATTATTCATATTTTCAATCTCTGTCGTTTTACGATCGGGAAAAGAGATTTTTCAAAAAAGGACGAAAATATCTTTTGATTAATGATAATTAAAAAAACAAAAGAAATAAATCGAAAGTGTAGAATACAGCTTTTGCATACGAGGAACGTTCGTTTCGAGAAACTCGATTTTAAAAATCCGCCAGCCATGTATAGCATATGTATAGCAGAGGTATATAAGCTTTATAAATCTCGATTTGATGTGGATCTATTATTTTTGAATCTATTCACGCTTACGAACAATGTCATGATTTGTATCCTACCATTGATACTATTTTGTTTTTTATCGGCGTGATTAAAATGATTTTGTAAATGAAAATAGCATATTGTTTTGGCATATGGAAAATTAAAAACGGATATGACATCTGCAAAAGTGTGTACCAATTAGTTCAAATAAATATAATTTTACGATTGTTAATTCAAGCAGCATAACTCTATATGTGACGATATTTCGAACATGTTTTATATTAACAGAACGATTATAAAAAATTTTATGGAGTGCTTAATGAACGTATAAAATGCTCTGTAAATTATTGCATTTGACAATAATTCTCTGAATAAATTTCCCAAGAAATGCAATTTGATCTGATATCACTGAATTTCTCTCGATGTCATTATACTTACTACATGCTATTTTAATAAGCGCCATAAGTGTTTCAATATCGCATTTTGTTAACCGTGTAATGATTTTAATTTTATATTCCTATCATTCTTCTTGTTAGGCTATCGGAAGTGTCTACAAAATTACGATCGTTACGATAATTTGATATTATGTGATACGAACAACAGCATGATTTAATATCGTATACATAGGTGCAGATAATTACTGAAAATATATCTATGGTGTAGGTATAATTCAATTGCATAAATCGACTGTGTTTAATATATTATATTATTCGTCTACGAAGCAAATCAATGAGAAACATTGTACGTCAAAATTATCATCTGCCGTACATATTCGAATCTCATCGCGTGTTGCTACGGCAATGCAATTCCAGATGAAAGAGTGGGGATGAGTTTTGATTTCCCTACGGTACATCCAACAAAACTCATTTATACTCGTTTCGGAGATTATCAAAGTCCACGGACCCATTTAATTTATCCTACAAGGGAAGTCCGTACATTTAAATACGCGTAGCCAAATGGCAAAATACGCAACCAGAGTCGCTTTGTACTTGCACAATGTCTCCATTATAATATTTCAGAACTGAAAGCTTCGGTCCAAACGCGATATTACTCTGTGATGATTAATTTCTGCGTACAAAGCAGCACAGTTGCGAACTCTTCTTTAACGGTGTCCCTTCGTTTTATTCATTGTATATTCAAAAAAAAAAAAAAAAAAACGCTTTATTTTCAAAGACTACGCGTGTAGGTTTGCAATGAATTCTATCATCTAGTAATAAGCGAAGTTAGGAAAGTAAATAATGCGTGAAAATTTCCCTTGAACATGATAAAGTTCATGTATGTACGTACACTATATGTACTAAAAATAGCGAAGAATAAAAATCGTGCAAAACCTTCCTACGAGTTTCCTGTTATTAAACTAACGTAACTATTAATTTGATCACGATACGAATAATTTGCATGCTGGCAAAAATCCCTCTTCCCTTTTGTGGCAAACAAACAATTTCGTTTCTTATAGGAAGTTTTATTTGTTTCAATAGTTTCAAACAATTCTTGCATTCTCTTATGAACCGTATTCTCTCTAAAAGTATAAAACAAAGCTCAATGGTTGTAAAAGATCATATTTTGTATCTCTATAATAAATACATGTAACAAGGTCGATTAAGTGAAGTTAAATTCAATAAAATTCTTCTTTGCGTCGAATAGAGTGATGATATTATCTAGACGTACCTGTATTTTTTTTTTTAAATATATATATCTGTTACAAGTAACCTTTCGTTTAATTTGCTCAAAAACTTAAAAGTTTGGGTAGCTCAGAGGCACTTATATTGTGTCGTATCATTCGCTTAACGAAGCTTACTGTACAAATTAAATTGCTAAACTTCGTTTCAGTTGTCTTTCTTTTATACGGCGTTTAATTGGCAGATCGTGCTTGCCACGTGTGTGGCGAAATGAATTATAATTGTAGATAAAACGAATTTAAACTGTCACGGCGAAAGTGTTAATTACTGTATTTAAGCGCAGACGTTTCGTAGACGGCTAAAGACATTCACGAGAAAGACCGTCCCTCGTGATGACTCGAGGAGAGATTTACCTTGATTTTGTAGCCTTTGTTCGTGCGCATTATGAGATAATGGGCTATTCCGCTTGGTTGGAATTCGCGCGGCACTCGAAGCGAAAGGGCATAACATCCGGGTTTACTGGTGCTCTCTCTCACCATGAAGGCTCCTTCCGGCTCTTGGCTCAACACTTCCAGCGTTATTTCCCTGGAATCATAAATGACCACGACACCGTGAAAATGCAAATTTGTATAAATAAGTAGTAGAAATAACAATTACTACGAGACACCAACTACGACTTCGTATTATCCATGCTAGGCGTATCATACGAGAGCACAAAACGATAGTAGATCCAATCGAGTTAAAAAATATATGCGTCTGGATGCTCGAATATCTACGTATCAAGTAACCAACATATAGATCGTATAATAATTAAGTATTAAAATTAGTCGATATTGTTATCTTTTCATGCTTTTGTATAATGTTTCTAGTACGTTGTATCAAAAATGTTTGTATAAGTGAGAAGAGGGAGATTTGACGTTGAAGCAGACGTCCTGTTTACTGTCGCATACGTACATCGATTATCTTAATAAAGCCATAATTCCCTGGAAAGATCTCGAGAATGATATTCCTACTATTGTCTAGCGTATGAATCAAGTACCTTGGTATTCCAGCCTGGAACCAGGGAGCTTTACGCAGTTCAGCTTCTTCGCTGCGATTATTGAGACTATCCGTTCTTTCAGGAAGAGGTGGTGGGGTCGGTGTGGAACCGTGTGTACTTCCATCAGCGGGTACCGAACTGCTCGAAGTGCTGATCTGAGATCTTCTCTTCGATTTGAATTCTGTTTCTGTACCAGAGCTCGGAGAATTGTGTCCTATCCTGTGAATGTAGTAATTCGAACGTGCTTACTATTACGAATCGTTGAAAGCAAGAATAGACATGGAAAAAGATCCCTATCCTCCGATCAAACGCCAATAACGATGAAACAATTGAAAACAAATCTGTGTACGATAAAATGCTTCTCCGTCTGACATTACTTGTTCTCGATTCTTTTTCGTATCTTTTCTCGTTTACGATTTATAAGCGTTTGCATCGAACGACTGACTCCGATAAAAGGAGACGATTTCTCCCTTCAAACTAAAAACTGGCTACGAACAAATTGCCGTTAAATTCTTAGTCTAAGTCTGACGAACGTTTGTGCAAAGTTTCATCAAAATCGTAAGATCGATCGAATTGTTACTTAGAAATTAAGGGCTACAGATCTAACTATAAGATAGTTCCTCTTACGAGATTACCTGTTGTTCTCAATGTTGAAGTTTTTCGCGGTAATAGACGCGTTGATAGTATTATCCAGGCTCTCAGACGGGGGTATCTTGTTGTAGGTCGGCCTCGTACCCTCGGAGTCGATGATCGCCTCGTTTATATAACCCCCAGAATGCGGCCTGTTTGATGGGCTCGTCGGTGTGCTGCTACCACTGACGAGGGGGCAGCTGTCATCCTCACCGTTCAGTCCAAGAACGTCACGTCCACCTGTCAAACCCATCGCCAGCCGCTTTATCAGAGGTGGCTTGTCCGTTAGTCTCTTGTACGAGTTTAGTTCCGTCGGTGAGTTGCTCTCATCGCTGCTCGGTGTGCTCTGCTGAGAGATACTCTTTGGCTCATCCTCGTTCGTAATAGGGCCGAGAACGTTCGTAAAGTTGTGCGTCGGCCGTAGACCCGGGATCGAGTTCGGTGTCTGGTTTGGTGCGAAGAAAAAGTCGATTAATGTTCGCAGTACGATTTAACGACGTTGCTTATAGAGAACAAGAGAATCTCGATAGAAACTGCTGCAAGTATAAGGATGTGTTCGATTTTCTGCAATCTGTTCGTTGTTAACTCTTTGATAGCGAGACAGGTTCGAATAAACCGTCGACTGTAGCGCAGATTTCGTATCTTACGTGTTACTGTGCATGTGCATAACGCGATGTTATCTGAGATTATTGTTCGCGAAAAGCTACAAGTACGTACGATACTTTTTGTATCTCGTGTGAAAAATACAAGATATATCGAGGACAAGAAACAACAACTTTCTAAATGGTTTGTTCTGAATTCTTCGTTTTATCGCGCTGTGAAAGGATCGATAGTGATAACGATAACTTGCTGTTAAACGATTTTTGTTCACAGAGAGTGGAGACAGGATTATATCCCCTGTAAATAATCGTTTTTAACGTAAATAAAGTTACTTTACTTATGTTACATGGTACAATTTTTCAAGCGAAGGTTTGCTTTCAGGAAAATCGATTTTGAAAATATATCCATCACGTACTTAACTTCCAAGCAATAATTTAATACACCACGATACAGGTAATTATCTACATGCCCCTTGGTTAAACCTTTTGTTTTATCCAATATTCAACTTACTTTACCGATAACATAGTAGATTCTATAAAAAGAGACGCGTTCACTAAAACCTATCAAGTTGCAATGTAATTGAAAATTAAGCGTACGTACCGTTATACAAATATTCGCTACGAGACAAAAATCGAGTCTCTCAAGAATTATACCTCATTTTATAAAATGTTGTTCCTCGTCTTCGATTTACTTTTTTTCGTGAAAGATCACTTCTTGTTAGACGATATAAAATTTTATTGTTATATAGCGAAAAACGTTCTATTTCCAGGAAATATGTCAGGTGTTGCCCTGTACATGCTTATGGGCGGCAGCGTGAATCGGGCTCAAAATCCGTGGCGAATAGCGGCGTGAAATAACGTCGCGCGTTGAAAAACCCATTGAGCGAAAGTACTAGGGAAAGAGAATGAACGCGTGAGCTCACCTTCACGCTAGCGAGTCGCAGCGTGGGCGAGCCGGCGCTGCCGAGCTGTACGTTCATGTCCGCCGCAGACGAGCCGCTTCCAGTTCTGGACGTGGGCGACGTCCGACTTTTTAACCACGAATTCGAAGACGAATTCCTGCAAACACCTCCCGCGCCGGCGATCGAGCTGTCGCCAGCCAGCGATTTGTTCTGCGACAAAAAGAAACTGATCGTTAAACTCCTAACGAACTTGCGATCGCTCGTATGCCTGGCATCTTTTTGCTGTGGCAGCACTTCGAGCCAGCGGCGTTAATGCTCGTCGAGAGACCGAACGTAGTATGCGATAAATATCCTTCACGCTGCTATTTTACACTTAGCGTGACTTAAACTCTGCAAACACATTTAAGGCGAGCGAGAAAGTTTCAGGTTTTAGAAATATCAATTTTATCGGTCAGTTCTATCAATTTCTATCGATACGTTTATCTTCTGAAATGCTTTATTTTCTTCCTGAAAAATGCGAGTGCTGAAAATCGTTCTCGCCTCAAAGGACAAAGAACAGATTTATTTCGAATATATGGAAAAAAAATTTCGATATGTCGGTGGAAATGGTCACGCGATAAACGTTACATAATGCAAACGACAGTGATAACTTATAGTCACACACAATTTCCGAGTTTCTTGCTAGATCGACGTAGCCGAATATCGAATATCGAAGTGATAGAAATTTTGTCGCGCAAATATTCTGACCACTTAATCCGAAATATCGAACAGGCTACAAGTCACACGTTAAATATGCAAACCACTTAACATTTCGCATTTAACGTTTTCACCCGGCAAATCGTTACGTGAATATCGTGGAAATAGATGTCACTAGAAAACCAGTAACCAAGAAACTACAAGAAATAGAAGGAAGTCAATGGAATCGTATCGAATGTTTAACCTGTCAGACAGTAAACGTCAGATATATAGCGGGCAGCTATGAAGTTTTACTTGCGAATTTTGACACGGGAATCGTGCAGGGATCTCGAATTCGCCGGGTAACGTAACTCGAAAACTAATAAATAGTTTATCGATAGAATCTTACGATTCCCAGGACGATTGCGTAGGGAGAACCAGCGGACATACCGCGACGGACTGACCGTTTACTTGGAAACACGATGGAGCCGAGAGACTTGGGTCGAATTTATAATTAACGTGGCCTGCAAATGGGACACCTCTACTGGAGACTGATGCTCCCGTGAGACTACGTCAGATATCATTCTTACTGACTTTTTCTTACATTCGAAAGTACACGAGACGAAAATTATGTTGTTCGTAAATTTGATTAAGAATTTTTTTAATTTTTCGTACAGGCTCTTTAGTATTTTTAGAAGGAGCGAGAGGTGGTTTAATGAAACTTTTAGGTAGCTTCCGCGGCGATAAACTTTACGCAGCAGGTTCCTTCCTGTTTACTGTTACAAATTTACTTTAATGTAAAAGCGGAGATTCGTAAATTGCTGAGCTACTTGCTTTTGGAAGTTATGTCGCATTATTTACACACGTTTTAAACACATGTCGCTGGAAAGATGATTTTTTTTCCTTTCCTTTTTCGTTATTTGCCGCGGTTGTTGATAAAATTCGATAGAAAGTTAGATAGCGTTAATCGAGTTTCTTCTCTGTAGAAATATTCGACAAGTAACATCTAGCCACATCTCAACCAGTTTTTATACAAAATATGAAATATAAACTCTTATATTTTCAATGTTTCTTTTTTTAATAACGATTTTGAAATTTATGCACCAACTAGTGAATTGAACATTTTAATTATACGCATTATACGTTTTAGATGATTCTGTATCTCGATATTTATTTTTCTGTTTGATGCTTTTAATCGTAAGAAAATATTATTTTTAAAATTCGAATTATGTTAATATCGTGATATTATATATAATATTATGAAAATTCGCACAACGATATGAAAATTTCAAATATCGAACAATACAATTTATATCCAAGTCACATAAAAAGACTTCAAATTTCAAAAATCAAGTAGCTGAAAAACGCTCAATTATTTTCACTTTTATGTATAGTAGTGACTTGTAATGGAAAAAAAGGTTATTGCATTACATAAAAGTTTCATTAACCCTCCAAACTTAGTACCGTGTTCTCGCAACATTGTACTTTAACAGATTATCGAACTAAACGATAAATAGACATATTTGTTTACGGTATAACCGTGCCAAATTGTAATGTAATAAATTAAATCAAATGTATCGCGAAAAGCGTGTTCCTACTATTAAAGGTAATGGATAAAATAAAGTTCTTCTTCGAAACTTAAAGTGAAAATCATCAAAGTTGAGATCTTCTACTTGTCAGTTATTTTTAAGTAAATTCGATCCCTGATAAATTGCCCCGTTTTTTCATTATTCATTTTCATTGTTCGTTTTCATTTTCATTCACAGGATATGCCGGCATCGCTTGATGAAAAAGATCTGGGACACGCTTAGCATTGTAAGAGAAACGATAACTTATTTGTTATAGTAATTTATCGCGTGTAGTAAATATTGTTTCATTATTATTATCATAGAGTTTTAAAAGCACGACAAATTTGCAAATTTATATGTACAAAAAAATTGATACCTACAGGCATTTATTGATAATGTTAACATTTTATATAAATATCGTATTCGTAATTTAAATTTAAGCTTCTTCCTTATTTTATTCCAAATTGACAGTTTAATTCACCGATTTTTATTGAGATCAACAAAGTCTTGCTGTATCACAAAGAAAATATCAAGTACGCGTGTATATCGTCTGAGAATTTACAAGTTATACAATTTTCTTCGTTAACGCGTCGATAAAATAAAAATTAAGAGAAAGCGACGTCACTGACACGAATACGAGACAAAATATGTACGTACCCACGAAGATCGATTCTCTTGTTTGTCCTTTCGGTAGGGTGGTGATGATTGCGGTGAGATCACATCTTGAAGGATCGGTTGGCGCTGAAGTTGCGCCACGTATGCCATACGAAAAGCATTGCCGACAATGGTGTTTAACTCCTCCGCCTGGAAGAAAACAGAAGAAGAAGTTTTATTCGATTGCCACGCTTTGATAAAAGCGTAGTAATTGCTATTCATTTACGTTCAAACATTTTAAAACACGTTTAAGGCCAATTATATCGTGCTCGAACGTCAGATTGATTGACCTAAATTTAATCAACGAACTAATTTGTTATTGCATCAGAGAATTTCAATTAATTCGCTATTCATCTTTTTATCCTCTATGTTTCGGTTTACATCAAAGACGAACTTCGAATCATCGATGGTCAATTAAAAGTGGAAATGGTAACTTTGCGTTTATCAAAGCGATTTTTTCTTTTCCATTTAATAGCGTCCTTATAATTTTACTTTGGCTTTAGTTGCGGGTCGATGGCATTTTTAATCGATCTTTTTTCTTTTCGTAATAATTCGCATCTTATTATTTTGTGATCCAGCAAACGAACGATCACGTTCCACTGATAATATTTAAACTGCTTAATTTTAATTACTATTTAATTAATAATTTAAACTGCTTTCGAAGAAAGACTTAATTTTTTTTTAAATTATTTGTCAGATTATTTTATCAGAGACTTTTTATCGCACATATTTTTGCGCATGCAGATTCTATTTTTTTACTATGTTTAATACGTTAGACAGTGCGTATATCGATCTTGAGCGATCTCGATCTCGCGAGGATCATGGCACAAGTGGTGAACCTTTTGACTCGTTGTCAATCTTCTTGCCTCACTGGGTGGCGTGACACCAGATTCTTTTAGACTCTAGACGCAACAACATCTGTGGCTCTTTACTCGCAATTAGAACCGCGCTAGTCCCTAAAGCCTCGTCTACACTAACAGAAATTATCTGCGTACATCGTGCGCAGACAGTCGCCAAAAAATGTACGTAGACTGTGTAAAATGCGATGTATAGCTCGGTCGACGAGTCGAGGATGTGTTGGAGATACAACATTGTTGAAACCATTTTGAGTACAAAAAGTATGTGCTTTAAATACTTTTTAAATCTTGATTTTTAAACAACAGATACATACGTCCACTTCTAGAGTCGGGCATGATATAAATACAAATAATTAATATTACAGCGATGAAAAAATTGTTTACCATAAAATACTACACGCATGTTTGGTTGGTGATATTTATTGTAATGTAATGATTCTAATGATTTTATTTATGTTTTTCAACACTGCCAACAAATCTTTTTTTCGGTGCTAATAGTTTTCCAACATAGATACACAGGTAAATGACTTTTCATAAGAAATGGCGTGACACATTGTCATCAGTGTTCCATCAAGAAAAATGTAGTTGTCTTGTGTTCGATTTTTGAACAATTCTTTACGGCACATCCACGAAGAAATGGTACGTGAGTTTGCAGTGATTTCGATAAACCGCATGCATTTTCAAATTTTCTACTTTCGTCCTTCCTTGCCTGAGAAATAAAGAAAATACTGTGTCATCGAGTCTCTCCATCGCACAGTGGTATCGTTGCTTGCATCTTTTACGAGGTAAAAAACATATTCCATTTGCCCGCAGATGTTGTCTCTTGTTTTCCATTCCCATGGAAAACAACATACTTGTTCGTGGACGTGCATTTTACGGGGCTTTTGTCCGGACGACGCGTGTCTGCCAATATTTGTTCGTCGGTGTGGATGTAGCTTTCGTTCACCAACTATCTTTGGATTGGAATTTTGTCTCTCGTTGTCGGCGAATTTTCCATGACGGACAGATGCTGATTAGCTGCGACACGTGTCTGTCGGACAATTGTCTGTCAGTGTGATCTTAGCTTTAGGAGTATCGTCGCTCAAAGCCGCTATTGAGCCTAAATTTTGACGTGATGACATATTTATGCTTCCGGCTATCGGCAATACATTACTCTTGGAAACAGATCGACATCGCACGGGCAATCGATGCTAACAATTAAATTATTGAATTATTGAAAAGTATCTGACGCATGATTTATAATACACAGAACGACGTATATCGATTAGAAAAGAAACTGATCGTTAAGGTATCTCGAAATATCGTACACCGATGATTGTTTAACAAGATAATAAATCTTTCTTGTTCGATGATCAATTGGTAGTAATTATTTATCGAACATCTTGTAAAATAAAATTAATTGTACCTTACACGTGCATTTATACAGGGTTGTTGGTAACTGGTGGTACAAGCGAAAAGAGGGTGATTCTACGCGAAAAAAGAAGTCGAAAATATAGAATAAAAATTTTTCGTTCGAGGCTTTGTTTTCGAGAAAATCGACTTTGAATTTTCGCTCGGTACGCGTACACTTTATTACGCCTCGTTATAACGGATCTCACTGTAGATCGTTGTCTCGATGGAAAAATTGAAAAAAAAAATTTTATTCTATATTTTCGACTTCTTTTTTCACGTAGAATCACCTCCTTTTCGCTTGTACCTCCAATTACCAACCACCCTGTATATCAAAAGGCACGTGCGATTTGTATCACTTTGAGCGCTCAGTCAACCCGTGAAATGGTTGTTGCTTATGGCACACGCTATTGGAACTTAAATCGTAAAGCAACGGGTTAATTAACATTAACCTTACCAGACCCGGTCAAACGATCGGTTCGCAAATTTAATAAAAACTTGTACATTCATCTAACTTTATGTAAATTCTTACATTATCTGATTAATCAATTTCTCAATTTTCGTTAATATATTAATATAAGGAAAGTCAATTTTTCCCTCTACCTCCTTTATTTTTAATTTGCCGAAACTGTTAATCGTAGCTACGCGCAGTGTATCTCTACCATACAAACTAACATTAACGTAACTCTGTCGTAAAACGTTTTACGAACGAATGTTCAGTCGTTCGTTATCGCCGTAAAATGGAATCGCGAAAATCCCACAGAACTACGCGTAAAAGTTTCGCGTACAGTTAAAGAGGAGTCCGAAGACAACAGAAAGAATGTCGCTCGTCCTCTTCGAAATATATTACGCAAACTGAAACGTATATCATTCGCACGGTGCGAAGGACATTGGCGCATTGGCAGACGAGTTTACCGTTTCCCCATAAAGAGACTCGACTCTGTCCCGACTATTCGAAGCCCGTAAAACGAGCCGGTGGTGCGGTCTGCATCGATGCATGTGGTCGTTCGCGCGTCCCGACGAAATTTCCGATGACGATCACGAGCACAGGCACGGTGTTTCACGTGCTTAAGTGGCGTTCGTAGCGGCTCGGATACAACTAGGGGAAATTAGAAGAGGAAGAAACGCACGTGTAATGTGTAATCCATACGACAGGCCTGACGGGGGCGCAAACCGGAAATGGGGTCGATACAGAAAATAAACTACGCGGAGGAACTTTACATATGCCGACCGAATACCACGGCATGTACGAAGGACGCGCACAGAGGGACAAAGCGCGATGATAGAACGCTGGATGGTGAAAAAGAGAAAGATCAAGTGGGAAACTAGAATGGGAAGAGAGAAGAGCGGATGCACAGCGTGAAAAAGAAAGAAGTAAGACAGATGGAAGAAAAAAGGAGAAAGAGGAAGAAGGATAAAGAGCGTGGAAAGGGAGGTGGGGGTAGGAAGGAAGGGAAGAAGAGCAGCAGGAAAAGGGTGAAAAAGAGAGTAAAATGAGGAACGAGGGAGATGATAGCGCTGCATCCGATACTATCCTGGAGGCTGTGGTCGACGTTTCCCTAAGCCGGATATTCGAAATGGGAACCGAATGCGAACATGGTGCTGGTGCGACGCGCGTATTCTTCGTGTCTGCGGCCGGAATACGGCGTGTTTCATATCCACGTTTTTCGGCGACGCCGCATCGGGAATCGACCGGCGCCGATCGTCCAAGCGAATTTTATTTCGTGCCGCGATGCCCGGCGACAGGCCGCGCGAAACAGGTGATCGGAGCTGAGAGTTGTTTCACGCGGCCATTTAGTTCATTCTTCGTCGTCCGCTTTACGATGGAATTGCGAATATTTACGAGGAATTTTATAGCGAGAGAAATGCGGCCGCATGGTAAACGACTTTTTGTTCATAATAACGCATGGAAAATATCGACCAACGAACGGGGTTTTGCTAGGCGAAGTATTTCCTTTGCTATTTCGCGCAATGTTATTTAATAATATCAGGTTGTCCGAAATGTTTCTTTCGTTTTATAAGGAAATAATAGACGTTTGTTGTTTTATATTAGTTTATTGAATTATGCACGAACATAATAGTAGAAATAGAACGAAATGGAGCATACCTAATTTAATAAAATAATATAAAACAGAAATTGTTGTTCATCTATTATGAATTCGCCTTATGAAACGAAAGAAACTTTTCCGACAACCTAATAGTATCTAGTTCGAGTATTTATTTGAAATTTGGTACGAATGTTCTTTATACATTCCTCTATCGCCTGAACCACGCTCAGATCAAAATTCTTAAGTTGACTAATTTTTGAACATTCGGAATTGTTAAAAAAAATATGCGAAACAAGAAACTTTCCTTCAAACGGCCGCCATTTTGTGAAAAAATGTTGTTTTGATTTTTCCAGGGTTCATGCTATAGCGGCATCTATACTAATTAAGAATCCGTTCGGATTTTTTGTTTCAGATGACCAGAAGGGTTGAAATCATGCACGCCAGGACATCCTTTTTTTTCTGGCACCACCCACTTTGCCAGCTCATAACTTTGTGAATTTTGAGTTTTTTTTCGGTGAATTTTTTACGTAATCTTAAAATATCAATAAACAAATGCTAAAAAAAGGATAGCAAAGATATTTTTTGTTTCCTTTGTACAGAGCTTCAAAAATCGCCCGAAATTCATGCCTCTAGACTAGAATAACCCCTTAATTTTTCTTTCTACACTTATAGCCAACTGTTCTATGACTTGTCGTATGAATCAACGTTTTTAGTAGAAACAAGTAGTTAATTCAAATGATGCAGTCTTTTTTTTTTTTTTTGAAGATCGTATATGATCGAGGATTAACTCGTTGAGAATCCTGGACGTTTTACTCACGGCATTTACCGTGGTCGCGTCAACCTGTCGTTATCAATG